ATACATGGGTTTCTTTGAGCCACCTCTCCCAGAAAGAAGCTGTTTCATCTTTATAAAAAATGGCATCCGACAGCTTGGAAAGAAAAGCTGTTTTTCTTCCTGTGCCAAAATTCATCAAATTTTGCACAGAATATTACATTTTTATGATGAAGGTAAGAATTTATTGGATGATAAATTGTTTGTTAAATTCCAATGATGTGTTAGAGCCTGACAAGGATTATAGTTTTCCTGTTGATTCAATTACCTTACACTCGTGGATGCTGGTTTAACTATTTGTTGCTGGTTGAATTTAAAGGCCCTTAAGACAGTGCAGGTTTTGCCCCTGATGTCAGTGAGATCAGTCACAGGCACAAGTTGCCTTTACTCTTAGAGTGATTAATAAAGAGCAGATAGATCTTTCCCAGATGCCATCACTCACATCCCATGCAGTTAATCCTGGATTATCAGAGCCAAACACAACGTAACAAACTCATACAAGTGAAGTGGGTGGTATGTGTTTATCCTAGAGTCTGCTAAAACACAGAGAGCAGTGACCCATGTGCTATAGGGAGTACAGATATATATTTAGAATAAAGAAGACTGAAATATATAAAGCAGAATTTTGTTATTGTAAACTGAATGGGGAACGTGGCCTTAAGAAGCTGAAGTTAAATGAAAAGACTGAAGAACTGAATTTAAACAAGACCACATGAGCCTGGAGAAGAGAAGGCTCTGGGGGGATCTTATTGTGGCCTTCCAGTTCCTGAAGGGGTCCTACAGGAAAGCTGGGGAGGGACTTTTCACAAGGGCAGGGAGCAACAGAATGAGGGGAATGGTTTTAAACTGGAAGAGGGGAGATTTACACTGGATATGAGGAAGAAATTCTTGACTGTGAGGTGGTGAGACCCTGGCCCAGGTTGCCCAGGGAAGCTGTGGGTGCCCCCTCCCTGGCAGTGTTCAAGGCCAGGTTGGATGGGGCTTGGAGCAGCCTGGGCTGGTGGAGGTGTCTCTGCCCATGGCAGGGGTTGGACTGGGGGGGCTTTAAGGTCCCTTCCAAGGGGGGTGGAACTATCAGGAGGTGGGTGGTTGTAGGTCAGAGAGGTTCTCCTCCCCCTCTACTGTGCCCTGGTGAGACCGCATCTGGAATATTTTGTCCAGTTCTGGGCCCCTCAGTTCAAGAAGGACAGGAACTGCTGGAGAGAGTCCAGCGTAGGGCTACAAAGATGATGGAGGGAGTGGAGCATCTCCCTTATGTGCAAAGGCTGAGGGAGCTGGGTCTCTTTAGTTTGCAGAAGAGGAGACTGAGGGGAGACCTCATTCATGTTTATAAATATTTAAAGGGTGAGTGTCACGAGGATGGAGCCAGGCTCTTCTCGGTGACAAACAATGATAAGACAAGGGGTAACGGACACAAACTGGAACACAGGAGGTTCCACTTGAATTGGAGAAGAAACTTCTTCTCAGTGAGGGTGCCAGAGCACTGGACCAGGCTGCCCAGAGAGGTTGTGGAGTCTCCTTCTCTGGAGACATTCAAAACCCGCCTGGACGCCTTCCTGTGTAACCTCATCTGGGTGTTCCTGCTCCGGCAGGGGGATTGGACTGGATGAGCTTTTGAGGTCCCTTCCAATCCCTAACATTCTGTGATTCTGTGATTCTGTGATTCTGTGATTCTGTGATTCTGTGATTCCAATCCAAACCATTCTGTGATTCTATGACTTTCATTCCTCCAGTTTCCCAAGCTTGTTCTTGAGCCCTCAGGGCCTGCATGTTTGCTGCAAATATTTGTCAGAGGAAGAACAAACTTGCTTGGTTCCTCATAAAAATCCTTCTTGAAAGCACAGGCCAGGGACACTGAGCTCCTTCGAGCCCAGTCAAACAATAAATGTCAGAAGATGGCTTAATTTAACCATCCTAAATTGCCATGAGCCCGAGCCTGAACTGAGGAACCTTCTTCTCTGGCTCTTTCTGAGTCAAACGTTGGTTTCTGTGGTTTGTGTTGGACTGCACCTTCTGAAAGTCAAACTGCAGCCATCTCACTGCAACCTTTTTCATCAGAGAGAGCAAGCTTTATATCTGCAAGAGAAGATTTATTTGCTATTTCCCTCATACTCAGCCGCAGTCTCACCAGACAGCTGTGTGAATACATGTTCTTCAAGCTACAGGAACTTGCAATCAGATATTTGAGGAGAGAAATGTGCAGTCAGATGCATAAGTGGACTTTAAAAAGCTAGTGAGGTGATGAAATTCCTAGATAGCTTGACTTCAGTAGGTATTATTTGAACACAGTCACCATACCTTAGATAAAGAACAGAGATATTCTGGAGAATCATGTTCTATGTTGGTTGATTAATCTGCTTTCAGTGGTCTAGCAGTTAGTGCTGAGATGATGAATCCCCAAGCAAGTTGCTAACAGCAATCCCTGTGCACTGAGATTTTCTGAAAAAAACTCTCTATTACTGCAATTAATAAAAAGAAAAATGCAAAGTGACCTAGAGATACATTAAAATACTCAGATCATCTAAATGTGAACACCAGTTGGATGGGGACTGTCTCTGTGACCCTCGGCAATATATATCTAGCTGCTCCATCTATCTCAGCTCACATTTGGATGAAATGGGAATAATATTGACTATGAAATCAGCTACCACTAGTTTGTCTGCTAACATTTGTCTTTCTCTTTGAAGATAAAGTGATGATTACTACTAGAACATATTGGGAATTTCATCATAGATTGTTGAGTTTTGTTTCAAGATGAAGACATCAAAATACACACAGGACACTCAGAGCCGATTAGGGCATTTTAAAGAGTTTTTTCTTTGCCTACAAATAGAATAGTAAATGGGTTTTCCAAACCTTATTTACATAGTGTCTTCCATGGCTTTTTTCAGTAAGTATGTCTTTTGAAGATCCTGGATTGTGAAAATTCTCCAGGCATAAAATAAGTTCCACCCATGAGAATTGCTGCACTAAAATGCAAAAGGAAACAGATTATAAATTGCTCAGAAATAGAGTCTGTCCTCCAAATTTCTCTGAACAAGGCTCCCCCTCTTTGGAGGGCATAATGTGTGTGTCAATAATCCCAGACACAAGCATCTTCACGTAATGTGCCAAAAACTATTTGCTAATTTACACCAAGACGGGAACCCTTAGTTCCACATCTAACTATTGGGATGGCTTTTGCTTCCTTCATGCTGCCAGAAATATATTGGCAATACTAAACAGTCTCAAAGGCAAACTTAATGTCGTAAGTTAAATATATGACAGAAGAGATGGTTTGGCACCTGGCTCTTTTCCATTCACTCGTTTCTTTCCATGCCCCATGATCCTTTTTCCTTCCTTACGGCTTCAGGTGGCTTCCATGTCCCACTCTCCCTCCTCCTCCTTTCAGACTCCTCTTGTGCCCTACAGATATCACTGCATGACATAATGGTAATATTTGCACGATGGATAAGTGACTCAGGTGGATGGTGACTTGGATAAACTTACTGTGAAATCCATTAATATTTCTCCAATTTTTAGTTTTCTTGTTTGACAGTGGTTTCATGCTCACCATCGTGATGCTGGACTGCAAGACTCCCTGAGCGTACTTCTCTCTTGAAGGGAGAAGAAGTGGTATCACCCAAGACCTGCTTGCTTAGCTGTGAAAATGAGATGTTATTCTTGGCAAACTGTTCGTGTCTATGGTCCAGCCCCTCCCTTTCTAAAAACATATGTCAACAGACATAAAAGTGTGCACAGCACTGACACTGGAGTTACCAGTACTGAGGATGTGAGTTACAGCGAATTGGGACAAATAGGGTAGTTCATTACTCAGTTACTGCTTTAGACTCTCAGCAGACAGCAGAGATTGCATTTGCCATATCCCACACTTGAAAAAAATAATAATCTGGAAACGTAAAACTACTTAAGAATCTGGAAAAGATGAAAACTTATAAATGTGACTTATTAGCATGAACTAGCATAATTTTCCATACACATACGAATTTGACTGTGGTAGCTATTGGGACCTTCTGCCTGCTAATCTCTTCTCCTTGCTTACACATTTCAGTCTCTCTCTTTTTACATTCGTGTGAACAAATATGAATAAATGTCTTTGTGTCTCCTAACACATGTAATAGTCTATGGAAAGTCAGCGCTTTATCAATGACAATTGAAGAACAGGAGTTTGCTTAGTAATGCCTACCTGTATTCCTTGAAAAGGTTCAAGTTTAAGCAATGAATCACAGAATCATTCAGTTTGGAAGAGACCTCTAAAACCATCCAGTCCAACATCAACCCAACCCCACCATGCCCACTAAACCATGTGCCCAAGTGCCACATCCAGATGCTTCCTGAACCCCTCCAGGGATGGGGACTCCACCACCTCCCTGGGCAGCCCCTTCCAATGCTTGACCACTCTTGCAGTACAGACATTTTTCCTCAGATCCAACCTAAACCTCCCCTGGTGCAACTTGAGGCCATTTCCCCTTGTTCTGTCCCTGGTTACATGGAAGAAGAGATCAACCCCCACCTCTCTACCCCCTCCTTTCAGGAGTTGTAGAGAGCGATAAGGTCTCCCCTAAACTAAAGAAGCCCAACTGAAATCCCAATGAAAAGCCTTTTAAATAATTGACAAAAGAAGAACCAACTGGGACATCACCGCTAGGTTTCTCCTGAGGCCACCCAATGAGGAAAGCAGCAATAAATGGAAATGTCTTCTTTATGGGACTGAGATTCTCTTGTTCTCAAAACTTTTAGTCCTAACACCACACCAGGGTCTCCAGCTTCCTTGGCACATATTATTCTTTCACCTGCCTGGCTGAAGAGCAAACCTCTCCATTCAGTGACTGGCATCACTGAACTCACATTTTCTTAACTCCTGTTTCCTTAGTCTCCCTGTCCTGATGCTGGCTCAAGCTGCAGCCTTTTCCTTTGCTCTCTTGGCTTCTTTATACTCAACTGGCTCCAGAGATCCGCCCTCAGAGCCCACCAGAACACAGATGTGTGTCCAGCCTCCACCTCCTTCCCTTCCCAAGATTAAAACAGAGCCAGCAGCCTGTGCCTCCCTCCCTGCTGGGTCCTGCGTGGGGCAGGAGGAGCCGCCTGCACCCGGTGCTGCTCTCTCCTCAGGACTAATGAGAGGGAAGCAGAGCGGGTGACCATAGACACCACGTATGCACATGAGAGGAGTGAAGAAAGCCAGCAGGGAAGATGAAAAGCAACTGGTAAGAGAACAAGTGGGATTTAGAGAAATCTGTAAATAAGAGATTAGAACAGTGAAAGCTGTCCTTGCCAGCTGCCGCCTTTGTTGTTTGGTTTTATGACAGCACTGTATGAAGGAAATGGTAATAGAAAGAGCTTTATTGACGTGTTTTATTATAAGGCAAAGATAAAAAGTTCTCATGTAAAGAAATTGTCTTGTCAAATCTGCTACTAAAGCCTTAGCTCAGGTTTTTAGACATTTAATATTCACAGCTCTGAGGAGAAAATTGATCACAGAATCTGTCAGAAACTATACATTCATACTGGAGTTTTCTTTCTGCTTACAGGAAAATTACAGCTTTCTTCTACACCTGTAGTTTTCTGTGGTCTTTCATCTCAGCCACCATCCAGCAACAATCAAGTAAGGAGACAGACTTATTCTGCATTTCATCTTTCTGTAATTTTGACTGTCAAAAGAATTATTCTGAGCTTATTCAAAATTAAAATCCTCTCCAGTTAGCCATCATAGAAAGGGGGAAGTGTCTGTGTGTGTAGGGGTGCATGTATAAGAGAAAGAGGAGAAAAAGCATGAGCTGTGTGTGCTCTTTTAAGCTCGCTATTACAGATATATATTTTAAGGTAAGGATTAAAATTTGGGTATAGGTGGTCAATGCAGGACACAAACCTCTCCACAAGTTTCAGTGCTTCTAGTTAGATATTCTTCTGCTCCCTGAGGCAACAAACTGGTTCCACTTCGTTTGCTAGGCATAAAAGGTAAATGGCTGGATGTCAGCCATATGTCTCATCAAATAATATAGAATGGGGCTGTTTCTAAGGTGTAACATGTCAACCTGAATGTTCCCTTTAAGCCGATGTTGTCAGAAGGAAACCCACATTTATGGTTGAGCCCTGGCAGCACACAAGGGGCTCTCTGTATGTTAAAAATGCCTCTCCTTCCAACTTACATGCTTCATTTTTCCCAATCCAGACTCTGCTAACATTTTCCTGATTGACCTGATACTGGACATATCCACCACTCTCAAACTTTTCAAATAAATGTTTATTTTTCCTTTCGCCCTCCTTAAATTAAGGAAATCTGGTAGGCTTTCATGGTCATTACAGGGCTTTTTGACAGATAATGTTCTGAAAAGTTAGATTTTAAAATTTGGTTTCCTCAACCAAAATTCTTTTACATCTTTGTTTGGGTCAAGAAAAAAGGTCTGTAAGTTCTTCTTGCCCCCACCCTGTATTTCATGGATGATCATTCTCTGATCAAATGTGGCACAGAGGAAGGTGGGAACACCTGGAATACCAAAAAGGATGGACAACATGCCAACAGTTTCTCAACAGCCTCTTTAGTTGGCATGAGGTTTGTTTAAGTTTCCTTGGGACTATGGAAACTGTTGATTTAGGTAATAAGGTGGGGTGTTTTTTTTCAAAGTTTGCTTAAACGACCAAAAGTTCCCAACCAAAACCTCCTTACACAGCAGGCCTTCTTGTGCTGCAACGATTTCTCCATAGCTCTGCAAGAGAAGAATTATTATAACACTTTCATTTAAAGGCTTGAGAAAAAAATAATCAAATAATCAGTCAAGTTATAATTTTATATTTGAAACTCTCTAGAAACAGATGCTTATTTTCTTAGACTTCTGACTGCACTGAGTACAGTTGAAATAGATTACTACACACATCTAATTATTATTAATAATATTTATAGCCCTATTTAATTCATCATATTCTTACAGCTGCTTTCCTTAATTTTTTAAGGTGATCTGAGGCAATGCGCAGGCACATGGTTAATAAATATATCATTTTTTGCAGGACTCCCAGTCATTCTGGGTGCCAGTCAGAGAATTGATCTCTGCCCAACAATCAGGATTGGCCAAGATGACTTACCAGGCAAGTAGCATCCCGATTTTTTCAGGAAAAAGCTGCTGTTCAAAAACGTTATTGGGTAATATTCACCTCTATGACTGCACAATTCTCTAATGAAATGAAAATGAAAGTTACATTCTGGACATGTATATTTTTTTTTGTAGGCTTTGACCTGATTTCTCAGTTCCAAATAGAAAAAGCTGCTTCCCAAGGAATAGTCCAGAGAGTAGTGGGCTCCACTCCTCTACAAGTGGCTTATAAATTGGGACCCAATGCAGACTTCAGGATCCCAACCAGGTAATGCCCTTGGTTGTTCACCTTTAAAATATACGCATTTTGCAACATTACTGATTAAGGGATAGATCCTCTCCCCTGCTAGATCACCTCATTTGCAAAGCTTTTTGGATGGGAAAGAGGAGTTCAACTTCTTTTTCATTGCCACCACCAGACCAGACTGATTCTGTAATTGCAGGTACTTTCATTTTCCTCTACCAATGGTATTGTGCTCAGTGGGGCTCAAGATTTGCCAACAGAAAGGGATTCACCTCTAGGAAGTGAAGCCAAAAGTTGTTGATGACTTGGAAAGAGATAGGAAGGCCAAGAAAAGGTAACTGGAGGAGAGTTAGGAAAGTTTCCTCAGAACACTGACATAAAGGTACATTTCTGATCATGTAAGGATTGCAGAGACAAGGTAGGATAAAAGCTGACAGAATGCATGGGAAGGGTTTTTATTCTTGCATTTTGGGTAACTGGTACATGGTTGATTTATGGTCACTTGATCTATAAAACATGAAAACTATTATTTAGCAAGTCACAGGCAAGTTGCAATAGGAGGCAGGATTTAGGAATCTAATTGTGTTTGTACTTGACAGGCCAGACTTGCTGCAGGTGAAGGAATAGGGACAGTACAGCAGGGCAGAGATGTCTTTGCCAAACTTAGGCAAGTCTGGATTCTGGTCCAGCACCACATGTAATTAAGAATGCCTTTACTTAGCAATTATCTGGCAAGACCTTTACTTGGACTGCTGTTCCAGCTAGGAATAATTGGAGTGCGAAGTGTTTCTGTCATACTCTGGCTAAGTCCTCCCTGGCTTCTACCTTTCTAGCCACCAGGTTAAGCTAGGTTACAGACTACCTGACTGGTTACATTGGACTCATGGCTAATTTCCATCCCAGTGGCGAATCAGGGCTGCTAGTACGTAAATGTGAGTTCAACTATGGACAGTAAAAGGGATCTTCATTTCACTAAAAGTTTGAGAGTCTCAGTTTTTTAACTCATGCATCTTAGCTCAGAAACAGTCTGAGCGATCAAAGCTGTAATATTTTCATTTTTGAGAATGTTCAGACTTATTGTTATAGATGGCTGTAATGACATATATGCTTGATATACACAGGTTATTCCTGATCAAGCCTACACCAGCTGTGTTAATACAGCACGGCATATAAGCTGACTACTGACACTGTGACTGTTGGCTGGGTATGGTGCTGTAGTATCATGAATTTACCACATTCGAGACACTGACTGGTACTTCCAGACAACACCATGCTTTTGCACTGCAACACTACCTCCTGGTATACCTGGAATTTGGCCCTGGCTCAAACTAACAAGTCACCTGCACTTGAGCTGAGTGTCTTGTCCAGGGGAATGAGTCCTGACACTGCTCTAGTGCATCAGTGTGCTGATCCTCCATCACTAAGCCTCATCTTGCTGCTGTGCACCAGTGCTATTTTAGAGTGTGCTCCTTTCAGTAAGCTGACTCAGAAGAAGTGAAGTTGGCAGTAAGCAGCTGAGGCTGAGAGCACAGAAAAGTCACACCTTAGGCCATTTCCAATATTTTTTTAGAAACCAGAACTCTCCACATAATCTTTATAAAGTGGCATGGTAGGTAGGTTTTACTGCTATGAATTTGAAATGATGAAATGCCTGAGAAGCATTACAAGAGTTAGCAAGTTATGCAGAGCACCTCAAGCAAAGCTGAGCATCTTTAATAGCACAGGGATAGATCTGGCTTTCTCGGCATTGCAGCAACCCTGAGCTCCTGCTGCATTGCCCTCTGGACACCCTCCATACATGGATAATGTAAATATTTCCTGGGGTACTGGCAGGCAGCAGTTGCATCCTGCAGCTGTAGGCAGGGAAGGAGAAGGGAGGTGAGGGGAAGGGAGGTGAGGGGAAGGGAGGTGAGGAGAAGGGAGGTGAGGAGAAGGGAGGTGAGAGGAAGGGAAGGGAAGGGAAGGGAAGGGAAGGGAAGGGAAGGGAAGGGAAGGAGGCGAGGGAGAGGAGGGAGGAGAGGGAGGGGAGGGAGAGGAGGGAGGGAGGGAAGAGCCGTCCGAGCCGCCTCCTCTCCGCGGAGCTGTCCATACCTGTGGTGCTGAAACCCCGGCCCGCCGAGGGCTGCGCAGGCCACGGGGGAGCAGGGGAGAGCCGGCGGCGCGGAGGTGGAGGAGGCCGCCGTGGCTGTGGTCGGGCAGGCACACGGAGGGGGTAATGCCCCAGTTCGTGCCTCCGTCACTGCAAGCTCCTGCTTCGCCAAGAGATGGGGAAGCAAAACTAGAGTGAGCTTGGAAAAAATACGCAGCACTGCTTTCCCGGGCTGGGAGCTGATAGCGATGAAGGCTCAAGTGTTGTACGAGCGCTGGGGAGGGACCCGTAATAAATGCTCCACGCCCACACCACACCACTCACATCTTCGTTAATGAGCAGTCGTATTGGTACCAGATAATCTCACGGCCATGGATAGTGCCTTCTCTTGCCTTAAGGAATTGGGAGGGGTCTCCCTACTTAAGTCCGTTCCCTGGTGCAAGGCACTCAAGGTTTTAGAAGTAGGGATGGGAAGGTGTGTGCATGTGTAGGAATTACAGTATCAGCACAGAGGGCTTGCCTGTCACTGTTCAGTCAGTATTTATCAGAAATGGTAAAATATATTTTAAATTAGCACATGATCACTATACTAATGCAGAGAAGCCCAGGTTACAGTGGCTATGGCATGGGAATGAGAGCTCAGTTAGATGGGCATGGCTCAGCATATTTATTCAGTCTTTGCTTTAGCAGTAGCTTATATCTGGAAACTCTTACATAGGTTCCCTTGGTCTTTTAGCTGCTACAATACTTGCCAAGGTCCAGAAATACAACCCAGAATGAACAGAAATGGTTGCACACAAGCCTTGATGTAAGCTTCTCCCATCATCCACATAAATTCCCACTGGCCATTGCTTCTTCTAGCATAAAATCTGCTGAAGAATCAACATGGTGTTCTTGGTGTAATAAGAACCTGTGAAACTGTCCTGACTCACACCCATTGTCAATGCCATGGTGAACAAGTTAATTTTGAATTTAATCTATGTACCTGTTGTAGGTGTCCACCAGCTAGTAAGTACAAAATTAATACCTGGAAATTTGATTAATAATTGTATTAATTTATTTGGATGATAATTGTATTGATTTTAACTGCAAGGTTTAAAAAATGTATTAGCAAAAAGGAACTTGTTCATGATTGGGAAAAAGGGCTAGCTGTCTTATTGCACTGGATGAAATCTTAATCCTTTGACTTCACAAACAGGAGTCACACTGCAGCTGCTACATCACAAGGCCCCTATGTCCACATGGATAAATTAATGCCAGGGAACATTCCAAGGCATTCACACATAATCATCTATACTGTTAAAATATTATACAAGACATTGGCATGGTATGAGTCAGGACTAATTAAAATTCTTTAAATGATTCCTGGGCCCAGCTTGGCCATGGACCATTCCCAATACACAGCTTGGATGCAGTCGTCAGATTTTGGTAGTAAGCAGGTTTAAACTTTTTCATGCCAGCTGAACTTAGCATCAGAGGCCAGTTCTGGGCACATTGAGTTTAGTAACAAGAAGGTGGCCTACAAATCTAGAGATGGTGCCTCGTGGCCTGCATCCTTATCTCAGTAGAAAGCAGAGCAACATAAAAACTGAAGCTGCTTTTTGAACAGTGTTTGTATTTGGAGTAGTAGTGTACTGCAGACTGGTGTACTGCAGACTTCTTTAACAGGAAACATGACAGACACATTGCCATAAGAAATTATAAAATGAAAATAGGAAGTTTATAAAGCTTTATCTGTAAGCTTGGAACATCCAGAGAATGTAATGGGCTGATTCCCTGGTTTTTCTTCTCTGTGAAGTAATGCTCCTCAAATGCATATGTCTGAAGGTCTGGTATTTCCGCATCCAGCCACCAAAGTTCTTCAGGTGCTTTTCCTTTTGCATCACAATTCAGATAACTTACATAGTAGCACTCCACTGATATTGATGATGACACTGTAATAGAAAAGACAAAATGCAGCTAAGGAGTTGATTAGCTCATAAGAGAAATAATTAGCTCAGACTTGGGGGTTTCTGAAGAACAGAGACCAGCTGAGGGTAATGACTCCCAGCATTTTCATGAGCCAAAGATATTACTGCAGCCCCTTCTAGCAGATTGCACTAACGTCTCTAAAATCTTCATTTAGCAAGGAATAAGTTATTGCAACGGAGCTCACCTAAGAAATTAACACTTAAAGAAGCAAGTTTAATGAAACAAGCAGTTATTTTGTAGTATTCAAATCAATACATAATGAACCTCTTAAAATACTCTGCTGCTGTTGATGACTCCTGAGGGCAGTGGGACTATTCAGGGCTTCCACCACCTGGCCAGGTGACTTATCCCAGGTATATTGAGGTCTTGGTAGGACTGAGCCTTGAAATCTTGAAGAAATCATGGTAAGCACTCAGGGTATGGGATTAATAAGACCCTTGGGTATTTATGAAAAAGATTAAAAGCAAACAGTGGTGTTTCAAAAGTTCCCTTAGATGAATTACAAATGTTTCACATGCTAACTGTATTTTAAATAACATTCTAACTGTATCTTAAAAAATTAAGGGAGGACTGAAATATCTGATAAAATATTGGTTTGATCTTACACTCATTTCTCACTTAAAGCAGTTAACAGTAGCTCTGAATACACAAGGAAAGCAGGACTGGATTGCTATCTACAAACTTAAGATTAGAAATATATTTTTAAAATGCTCTAATGGCTTATGTCTCTGGCAATTTTCAGTGGGTAGGAAATGGGTCAGGACTTAATTTGGCCTGTGCACTTGAAATAATTTTGCATACTATTTTTTCCTTTGCCTGATTATAAGTTTAAAATTGTTCGATTTCCTTCTATAAATTAGTGCAACTGGAAACAAGCATGTTAAAAATAATTTATGGAAATCATTTAAGTGCTTATATAGTTATCAGCTGTTCAAGGAGATTACAGCATCCAGCACTCTTCACTTTGCAGTGAGATGGAGGAATAACCTCTACAATTGTTTATTTTAATATAAAGATAAATTTGCCATGGCTTCCAAATACTTAGATTTTTAAGCTGCTGACTTCAGTAGGGTTTTTGCCTATGTAAATCACAGAATCACAGAATCGCTCGGTTGGAAAAGACCTCTGAGATCATCATGTCCAACCGTTCCTGTCTACCCCCTAAACCATATCCTTAAGTACCTCATCTACCCGCTCTTTAAATACATCCAGGGATGGGGACTCCACCACCTTCCTGGGCAGCCTGTTCCAGCTTCTGACGACCCTCTCAGTAAAGATCACAGGCTTTGGGACAAACTGTGTCCTGAAATACACTGATACCACTAAAATTGCTTTTCATTACTGTTGTAGTAACTGAGATCAAAATCTGCCTCTGCTTTACTTGTGGAATTACAGGTATACATCTTATACAGTAACATAGTGTAACTATGTTTACTTACTAGTGGTTTTGTTTGTTTGTTTGGTTTTTCCCCCCAGTATAGTTATGTCAGCTGAGGTGAGAACGTGTGTGGTATTTTAGCCAGTATTGCCATGACAGCAAAACTTATCAGTGCAGAGAAAGAATGAAAACCTCTCCTCAGAGGATCTGGGATTAGCAACACCTCCTTTAGCTCCAGAGCTCAGTGTATCACATCCCCCAGAGTCACTGAACTTGACAAAGTGAAATGCCACACAAAGAGTAGTTAAAAAAATACCTAAGAATACCAGCTTCATATCGGGAAGTAGTAAAAACAGCTCTTGTGCACGAAGAAACAGTGAGATTCAGCAAATGAAGAGATAAATTACTCGGTTGAGCTAAGACTTTAGCAGCAGAAGACACAAATACTTGTTTAAGAGATTGAACAGGAGCCAGCAGAGTGCCCAGGTGGCCAAGAAGGCCAACACCATCCGGGCTTGTACCAGCAATGCTGTGGCCAGCAGGAGCAGGGCAGGGATCCTTCCCCTGCACTGGGCACTGGTGAGGCTGCACCTTGAATTCTGTGTTCAGTTTTGGGCCCCTCACTCCCACAAGGACATTAAGGGGCTGCAGCGTGTCCAGAGAAGGGCAATGGAGCTGGGGAAGGGTCTGGAGCACAGGAATGATGAGGAGCGGCTGAGGGAGCTGGGGTTGTTTAGTTTGGAGAAGAGGAGACTGAGGGGAGACCTTATGGCTCTCTACAACTGCCTGAAAGGAGGGGGTAGAGAGGTGGGGGTTGGTCTCTTCTTCCATGTAACCAGGGACAGGATGAAAGGAAATGGCTTCAAGTGGCACCAGGGGAGGTTTAGGTTGGATCTGAGGAAAAATGTCTGTACTGCAAGAGTGGTCAAGCACTGGAAGGGGCTGCCCAGGGAGGTGGTGGAGTCCCCATTCCTGGAGGTGTTCAAGAAGTTGTGGATGTGGCACTTCAGGACATGGTTTATGGCCATGGTGGGGTTGGGTTGATGGTTGGACTTGATGATCTTAGAGGTCTGTTCCAACCTTTGTGATTCTGGGATTCATTGCTTAAACTTGAACCTTTTCAAGGAATACAGGTAGGCATTACTAAGCAAATTCCTGTTCTTCAATTGTCATTGATAGAGCACTGTTTTTTCATAGACTATAACATGTGTTAGGAGACACAAAGACATTTATTCATATTTGTTCACACAGATGTAAAAAGAGCGAGAGACTGAAATGAGTAAGCAAAGAGAACAGATTAGCAGCCAGAAGGTCCCAACAGGTACCGCAATCAAAGTGGGATATTTTGGAGGAAGATGGACACTGAGGGCCACAAAGATGTGTTGAACTGGATCAGGAGCTTAGCAAGAGTCTACTGAGTGTCTGGATAGGGAGAAGAAGTGTGTTCCTGGAGCAGGAAACAACATAAATAGAAATAACTTGTGTTGGCTAAAAGCCTAACAAAAGTAGCATTCACTGGAAAGTGTCCAGAACAGGCAGAGACGTACAATGTCCATGCACTGGTATTTGCATTTAAGATGGCAAGATACAAACTGAAACAAAACAATAAGGAAATGCAACAAGTTAGATAAAATCCTATCAGACCAGGACAGCTGGGACAGGCATCTGCAACCAACAGACACAGGTCAGAGCAGACCACAGGCTGGTTAAAGATATTGGCAGGGAACCCCCTTCTCCCACCGTTGTGCATCTCCACACCTTTGTAATGGGAAAACCTTCCAGCTAAACAGCAGTTCGGGTGGTTTATGGAGCAGGTGGTGCTGCTGCTGCTGCCAGGCTTGCCCGCGTCCTTGCTGAGATCTGGCTGAGGCTGTGCCGGCACCTGCTGGAATGGGATTGCACTACAGCTTTGGACACAGACACCGAACTGTGGGGACTTCATTAAGCATACAGAAAAACAACTAATTTATTCTATTTTTTCCTGTTGTTTTTTTTTTGTGACACCACAATTCACAGAATATGACAAGACACGCTTGAAAATATTCTACTGGATTCACTGAAATATTTGAGATTAAAAAATGACATTACTGTTTTGCACAGTGACACAGCCGGTAGTACCTGTTTGAGTTGCCAAATCTCACGTTATGGTAATTGCAAAAGAAGGAAACATTTTATACGTGGCAAATATCTTCCCTGCTACATTTTTCCTGTAGGTTCTTACTGTTTGTATATTTGTAAAGGAATGTGTTGTTGAATAATTTCTGCTGAAGTGAGAGCTAATACAGTAACAAACCGGTTATTGTCAGGCTGAACAAGAAAATGCATTTGCAAAATACATTCTTAAGCCTTCAAACCAAATCAGATCCGCACTGACTATCTACCTGGTCGATTATAAAGTCACATTACACTGACTGATTTTGGGAGTCTAATGGTACAAAATAGCATAATTGCAGGACACACTTTCTAAACGTGAAGTAGGAGTTGGTTGTTGCTCCATCCACTACACTTAGAAAAGGTTATCATAAATATTGTACAGTGTGGGAAGAACTCACATTTCTGAACCAATTCCTTTTGCCATTAGCAACACTAATGACTCTAAAGTACACCCAGAGCTTTGGGACTCTGCATGCACGGTTCAGTCCTCTTCAGGACATGGCTTAGTGGGCATAGTGCTGTTGGGTTGTCCTGGTTTACTGGGACAGAATTTGAGAGACAGTTTTCTGTTGAGGAAAACTGCTATTTTGTGAGGACCACAACACTCTATCTCATGGGAACAAAGTGATAAAACTTGGTTATAGCTTTCAGCTAATATTGGTATGCAGGTTGCCATAGTGCTCAAGGCCTTCAGCGGTCTTGAGATAAACAGATGCAGAGGCTGAGGGGAGCAGAAACCTAAGGGAGTCAGCTCCAAGGTGACACCAGCTGAGCAATTAATACTATTCGGTATCATAAATGTCACATTCACTATAAATTGGGGAGTTTATTGGGGACTGCCTTCTCTCCCTCTCCCTCCTGCTCCCTCTTCCATGGCTGACATCTGGAGAGGGACTTGTTTACCATCCTAGGTAACCCTGAGGCCTACTTCCCACACTACTGGCTGAGTATAACTGTGTACTTCATATTATATTGTTGTTAATATTAGTATTTATTATTATTATCTTATTAAATATATTTTTATTTCAAACCATGAATCACCTTTCCTTTTCCTCATCCCCATCCCCGGGTAGAGAGGAGGCATCAGTGATAGAGCAACTGTATAAACCACAACATGGGTTGATGGTTGGACTTGATGAGTAGGTCAGAGAGGTTCTCCTTCCCCTCTGCTCTGCCCTGGTAAGACTGTATTTGGAATATTGTGTTCAGTTCTGGGCCCTCAGTTCAAGAAGGACAGGAACTGCTGGAGAGAGTCCAGCACAGAGCCACAAAGATGATGGAGGGAGTGGAGCATCTCCCTTCTGAGGAGCGGCTGAGGGAGCTGGGGCTCTAGCTTGGAGCAGAGGAGACTGAGGGGTGACCTCATTCATGGGGATCAATTTGGAAAGGGCGAGTGTCAGGAGGAAGGAGCCAGGCTCTGCTCTGGGATGTCCAATGCCAGGACAAGGGGCAATGGGAGCAAGCTGGAGCATAGGAGGTTCAACCTGAAGATGAGGAAAAACTTCTTTCCTGTGAGGGTGCCAGAGCATGGCCCAGGCTGCCCAGAGAGGTTGTGGAGTCTCCTCTGCAGACATTCAAAACCCCTGGCCGTGTTCCTGTGTGACCTCCTCTGGGTGATCCTGCTCTGGCAGGGGTTGGACTGGGGGAGCTTTGGAGGTCCCTTTCAACTCCCGATATTCTGTGATTCTGTGATTTTAGAGGTCTTTTCCAGCCTTAATGATCCTGTGATTCTTTGCAGCAGAGCACTGGGAAAATCATGTTTGAAATATGGTTAAACTGAGTAATCATTACTCTGTGGTGATACGTGGAGCTTTTCAGAACAAATACACAACAAATGTCCTGTGTTTTGATCCTCCACAGTGCCATATATTCCAATGGATTGCCCGATGAATATTCCTTCCTAACTACTTTTCGGATGACTGGAGCCACACTTCAGAAATATTGGACTATTTGGCAGATTCAGGATTCTTCAGGAAAAGAACAAGTTGGAGTGAATCTGAATGGTCAAGTGAAAAGTGTTGAGTTTTCCTATAAAGGAGCGGATGGAAGGCTCCAAACCGCATCATTTTTGCATCTGCCTTTCTTGTTTGACTCCCAATGGCACAAGCTTATGATAAGTGTGGAAGCAAGCAGTGTCACTCTTTTTATTGACTGTATTAAAGTAGAATCCTTAAACATAAAACCAAAAGCGAAAATCAGCACTGATGGCTTCGCTGTGCTTGGAAAACTTAAAAATAATCCTCAAATTTCAGTTCCGGTAAGTTCCAAAATCTTTTGTTACTGCAAAAAGTGGTTTTATTGGGCCTTTACACTTAATCTTTTTTGTGGAATACATCTTCAAATGTTTTCTGAAAGCAGAAATGGCAAAAAACAACTTGGCAGGTAAGTACTGCACATATTTATTGTGTAAGGTAAGGGATGACCCAGGTTAAATCTAAGTTTCAGTAGTGAAAGGTCTCAGGCATCCACGCTTTTGGTACTGGATTTTGCTCTGATTGGGCCTATTAACTGAGTGTTTCCCTGCTTATCTCATATGTGGAGCTTGATCTAAAAGGAAGTCTCTGGACATGGGCTTGTGGGCCGTACCTCACACCAAAAGGAGCAAAACATTCACTGAGCGAGAACTGGGACCCCTTTCTTATCTATGTGTACTGACCATCAGCTAGAGATAATGAACAGCATCTCTGGCAGAACAAGTATTTTAAATAGTTAATACTAATATCTCCTGTAAGAGAGGTTGACAGAGGTCCTTTCTGATCTACTCTGACTTTCACACATGCAATAAGGGACCCAGGTTTAAATGTGAGTGCTAAACCAGAGATTATCACGAGTATCTTATAGCTCAGGAGACCGTTCTAATCACTGTGTTACCTGGTATGGTCGTGTTCACAGTGGCTTTTCCTCTTTAGTTAGCTAGAGGTTTGGCTTTTTTTCCAAAAGACTGACCTCTTAAAGAAGGCTCTTGTTCATGAATCCTATGAGGGATAAGTGTAGCACCAGAGAGTAGATCCAACCCAAGCAAAGGGTCCGGCAGAGCTGAGACATAAATCCCACCCATCTCCATACCACCTTCTCCTCAGTAGTTGAGGATATCCCACTTCCACGTCCTGGCTTCTGTGAATCCCTCTGTTATATATTTAACCTTCACTCTACATTATAGAACACATCTAAATTCACCTGGAGTGCTCCTTTATTCTGTGTAGCAGAAGTAGGCAGTGAAATGGTTATTCTGTATCCTGTGAGTGGATTTAATACTAAAAATATCCTCTTCACGCTGCTACACGGTGAGGAAAGTTGTTTTCATGGAGAACATAACATTGGGGCTGACACGATAAATATTGAACGCTTTTTTGCCCAAATAGGAAAAAACCTCAGGATTTAATTATTTGATTATCTGATTTAGTTTCTGAGATGAAAGATTAGTGTAAAACACATACAAAGTGTCACACCTGCGATTTCTGATAGAAAAAAACTTGTAGCTGTCACATCTCCATTTAGTCTCTGAGACATCCATGAAAGTGGTTTTTTAGCTAATGAGTCCTACTGCACTTATTCACCTATGCTGAATACTGTAACAATTTAGTCCTATGGTGGTACTAAATGACATTTAAGACTTTGAGAAGGCTATTTCTGAATTCACTTTGTAGATTAGAAGGAAATACAACATTTCAAGATCTTTTAAAGTTTCAAAACTTAAAAAAAAATGGTTCAAAATACAGTTGGAAAAATTGCAAAATACCATATATTGTCCTGATCCTTTCCCAAGGATCCACTCTAAGCATGTTAGGAACTTAGAATATTAATGGTAGGATACCCATACATATATATGAATATATATATATGTATTTGAAATGAGTTGAATATATATTTCAAAATGAGTTGAATGGCAAGAGATTCAGATATTTAATGTAATTTAACTACCTGCCACATCCCTGCACTGAAGTTTCAAAGTGAGATATAATCTTTTAACTATATTTTGTATTGTTTGTAAAAAATCTGGCCACAGAATGATGAGGACTGTATAAACGTCAAGGGCAAACGTTGCAAGAAAATGAGCATCTCATGCTTACTCACCTCTGTATGTATAGGTCACTATATTGCACTGGGTAGAAATCAGTTCTACTTGAAAAATGGTGACAGAAAGCTGCCCCAAGTGTCTGAAAGTGGCCTGAAAGTGGCCATCTAGTGTGTTGTTGTAGATGTGGATTAGAAAATGTCAGTAGCTCAAAAGTTATGCTAATTCTGCTGAAAAAAAGTTCAGTCTGAAAATATAATTCCAAAGTAATCAGCTGGAGCTAATAATGTAATGATTTGCTGCATACATATTTTAGCTTTGCTGACTGGTCTGAGGGATACTGGTTGATGAACCAGAGAGGTTGTGGAGTCTCCTTCTCTGCAGACATTCAAAACCTACCTGGACATGTTCCTGTGTGACCTCCTCTGGGTGATCCTGCTCTGGCAGGGGTTGGACTGGGTGAGCTTCTGAGGACCCTTCCAACTCCTGACATTCTGTGATTCTGTGAATGGATGGATGGGATGATGAAAACATTACATATTCTATGCATGTTGTTGGGATGGCAACAATTCTCCCCCAGTATTGCATTCCTCTTTGGAAAGATATTTAATTTAAATGCAGAGAAAGCAATGGGTATTAAGGTATTACAACACCTAAAATACAGTGCTGCAGTAAACCAGGGCCTCAAGTTAGACACAGAGTCATTTGTTTAAAAACAGAAGTAGATGCACATTTTATGACAGAAAGGATAACGAAGCACTGGAACAAATTATTAGGGAAGTAAGAGGTAAGCATCAAATTAAATTTCAAACCTAGTTTAGATGTCTAAAAATGCAGTTTAACTCAGACAGAACTGTGGGCTTGTAATAAGACTCACTAGACTGAATTTCATGGCCTGTGCTATGAAGTCAAACTGACAATGGTAGTGGTCCAACCGGATGTTATAGAAATGTTGATTAAGGAAGAGCATGTTTCATACAATTACGATAAAGAAAATACACAATCGGATGGACTCCTATTTTTAAAATGGCTGCTTATATTGCCCAAATTTCTGCTTTAGACAATGCCTTTAGTTTCTCTTTAAATTGAGTAAATAAATCTACGGTTGGGAATATTCTAGGTTTATCCTTTAGCTTGCTTGACTATACTCAGTTTAAACATTTTACAAGTCTTGGTTATTTAAGAAGTCCCAGGCACAATTTCTAATTTATTTCCAGGCATTGTTAAAGTATATTACTTCCAGTGGTATAATTTTTAAAGGACATAAATTATGTGTTTCCTATTCTTCTCTTTTCGCAGTATTCTGTGAGTGCTCTATTTACCTTGCAGAACAGGTCAACTTCTTATAGATGCACTGTAATACACGTCATTTGAAAAAAGATTCTTTATTGCTTGTTGTTACTATGATTGACTAGGAGAGTAATAGATAGAGTTTCATTAGAAACTGTGGCTTGCCTTTGAGCCTTTGCAAAGATCTATTCCAGGATTTCTGGAATGTTTTATGGAGGGCAAATTTTTATACAGGTTTACTGCTGCATTTTTTCTCTTTCCTTTTTAAGATAAAAAAAAGAAAATAGTTCTTTTCTATCTAAAAGTAATTCAAATAATCCACTATAAATGCCAAGCAACATAAGATACATCACCACTTCAAAACTGAAATGGAACTTACTTCCTAAATCGTGTGTTTGTTATAGAAAGGTAAGGGCATTCATTTCGTAACTGCTGTGAGATGATAAAAATTGCCTTAGTTTCTGTGGTTTCAGAGGCATTACCCTGATTTTCTCATACTACACGGCAAACACTTTGCTAGAAGTGATCCTTGGTCATTATTCAATTGACATTTAATGCTGCTAACTAGCTCAGGGCAGCTACATGACTTGTGAGGTCTACGAGGAATCCGCTTATCAATATTTGCTGAACAGGGATTAATTTACAGCACAGAGCAGGTTGTGTGTGTGAATTGTAAAAAGTCACGTCTTGGGTTTTTTTCACGCTGGGAATCTCACATTCAGAAGGCTGAATCCTTGCTATGGAAAATCAAATAACACCCCGAATTTGTGGTACAGTTCTAAGACTTTGAAAAAAAGAGTCAAGGGAAGTGAAGCTCTAAAAACCCATTAGAGATGTAGGTAAATTGCTAAAACATGTTTAAAAGAGCTCTAGAATGAGCTAATATTCAGACAATGGAATTGCAGAGCTCTGAGACTGAGATGTGCAAAGCTGTGGGCATTTCCAGGCATTTCCACAGAACTTAAGAGGATAAAACAGTAAACAGACAGAGATAATGAATCCAATTATTTCCGTGCAGATTACAAAATCAAGATGAACCTGAAATGCTGTAGGAATCGTGGAAAAAGGACATCAGAAATGTTGACCTATGGGTCTTAAACACCTATGGGTCTTAAAGGATTACATTTTAATAACTTGGCTTTATGATTACCCTTGATTTATCTGCGGTTCATCTCTGAGAGCTTTGTGTCTGTACTTCATCCTGAACAACACTTTGTACTGATATCAACAGGACATCTACAGGAGACATCTTCAAAATAGTGGTGTCCTTTAAATCAGCTTAATATAATCAGCAAGATCACTGTGAAATATTGGTGGGGGAAGAGGTACCTTGACAGCAGGGCTAGGACATATTTGCCCTTCTCTCACCTCTCCTAAGTCAACAGGAAGGCAGTCACAGCCTTTGCTACCTTGCCAACAAGAGTTTTAGTTTTCATTTTAAAAAAGTCAGACAGGCTTCATCTCAGTTTTTGCTTTATGTAGCTTCAAAACAGCAACGAAAGCTCCAAGCAAAAAATTTACAAAGCAACTACAGTTTATTAAAAAAAAAATAATGCTGCCAGACTATGCAATTGTGAACTAAGAAATGTCATATTAAAGGTGCCTGTTCAAAATATTTCAACTCCTTTTACATTCATGTTGTGGCACAGTGTTTTGTAAATAATCCTAGGTATTTTTTCTGCGTAGGATGCCTGTCTCGTTTATGCAGACTTTTTTTGGTGCGTCTGAAACTCATGAGAGTACTAGGCCTTAGGTAATGCTCCCCACTCAAATCCTGTTTTGAACAAAATTAAGTGATTGGTTGGCCATTCAGGAGCACTGGGAGAAAACATATGAGACACTAAAAGGTTTTCCTGGCTTAGTGAGTCAAGTTCCCATTGCAGCAAACAATCGCATCTTATAATCTTATTAATAAATGTATCTCTGTGTTAATATTGATTATGGCCAAAGTTGAAAAACTGGGTTCAGACTTAAAAAATGTATATGCATTTGCTGTTAGGAAGCAATAGTGGCACTCACAGTCACTCATCAAAGTCTAACACAACCCAGTAATTAGCATTTTATCATCTCATAGCTTTCTCACCTTAGTACAGAAGCCGAAAACTAGACACACATACATAGACAAAATAGAGGTAATGATTATCTACATAAAAACCCCAGAATGTGCTGATGCAGACACTCGTTGCTGTGGTATGTCCTAAAAGTACTTTTTTTCAGCATTTACAGATATTTTTTACCATGTCATAAGTTGAAAGTACAACTCAGAACGATGGATTTCAGTCACAGTTGTCCTTTTTTTGTCATAACCTGTACCCAGACCACCCAGTTCCCTCCCCCCACCCCATGCAGAATGCTCTCTAATGTGGCCATTTCGATTTAAATAATTTCTCAGCGCTGTAAAAGAATTATGAAGCAAAACCAAGCACATTCAGTGGCATGTGGTCACCTTTTCCACAAAGACAACCCTTCCTTTTTTACCACCTTTTGCCCCATTTACTTCCAAACTTACAGTTTCTGCGGTATGGGAACCATTTCCACGGCCTTGCTCGTTCAGTCTTTTGAGTGAAGGGAGTTTTCTAAGGAAAGAACTGTGAAATCACGTGATTTCAGATCACATACAGACCAAATTTGTACAGACAACCTGAATTATGGTATTTGCTAACTACTGAATGGATGACTTTTCAATTTTAATACTATTTAATATAATTTTAATCTAAATACTAAGCAGACAAACTGAAGATGTAGAAATTCTGTCACTTAAAACCATGTCTATCTTAATTTAAATCAGAAATAGATTATTATTTAAATCAGAAACAGATTATAAACTGCTTTAGAGCCAGTTATGGACCTCTTTCACTCTGCAAGTGAGCTTCAGAGGTGAATAATGTAGAGACTCAGGACTCAGAATCTAGTAGTACAGTACAAAATAAATTATCATATAGGCACCATTTGGTCCCATTTTAATGCCTTATTATGAATCTTCATCTTCAGGTTCCAGATACCCTCATATTTTTATTATTGTGTTGCTGCCTTATAGTATTAAATTTTAGCATACATTCAGTTCTTTTATATGTATATTGTGACATTCAGTCATCTATTATTAAGGACTGGGATAGGTTTTAAAATGAGATTTGGATAAAGAAGAGAATTGACTCACCGATAGTAGTGTCAGATAACAGGTAAGAGAAACCTCTTTTGTGCTCTGGCCTCAGCACTCTGGAAACTGTGATGACTGCAAAGCAAACAGAACAGTAGAGATGTGATAAGGGAAGATTTCAAGAGTGGTGGCACTGAAGTGGTGAAGGTGAAAGCAAAATAATTCAAGAAAAACCCAGCATCTTGTGGATATGTGGGTGTCTTGTGGAGATCTTAAAGGACTTGACTCAAAGTATTTATTAGCTCTAGCAGCCAGCATTCAGTTCAGTGAACATAAGGACAGTGGTGGGAGAGGAAAGCATCTCAGAGTGGCAGTCCACCTTCTGCATCAGATATGGGTTGGGACTGAGACATTATGTTTTGGGAGGAGTGGTTTGGAGCTACTTCAGCTCAAAACAATAAGAAGAAAGACTTAGAGAAGCAAAGGAATAAGAATTGAAAGCCCCCTGACACTCACTTCTATTTTCAGCCTTTCAGAAAAACCAAATCAGTCTTCTCCATACCAGGGCTCCATGTTGTAACAAGGAAAAAAAAACAAACCAAAAACCTAACTTTTTGCCTCAAATCTTCAGCCATTCATAATGAAAAGAAAGGACTGGAGGCCCCTCAACTTTATCACCAGAGAAATCTCTGGGTAAACCATTCATTAGTGATCCATAAGCCAAGCTGATACTATGTGTGATGGGAAGGGGAAAAAATGCAAGGCTTTAAAACCTATATACAATAAATATGCACAACTGAATATGCTTCTGGTACTTAAAAATGCCACATGATGCATTATATACATCAAAGGATATACATCTGGAGCTGTATGTTCGAGCTATTCAGTAACTTTCAGGAGAGGGTATGTTTTTAAATCTATACAGCACATCAAGTGAGTCCTGACTGCAGTTTCTAAGAGGTTTGCTTAATCCTGTGTCATTTTCCAGTACCAAATACCAATGTTCAAAGACGACGTGCAATTTCGCAGACGTATATTACTCAGTTGCAGCCTATTGCCAGTGTGCATATGATCCAGTTTGTTCAACTTCTCACACTTAAACCACGTTTTTGTCCTCAGCCCTACCATTCTTCATGGGCATGGCTATCCACTTAGTGGAGATCTTTTTGTCCGTCCTTTCATAAAACTACTGCATAGCATGAGGAAAAAAATGCCTGTGCTTATAAAGAACACGTAAAACATGAAACGTGACGAATCTCACCTTCTTTTTAAATCCCTCGGCAGGTTTATGCCCCCTCTTCCAAAGCCCTTCACAGTTAGGGTAGGGGAGCGCAAGGTGGAGCTCTGCTCTGGGCTGAGCCCTCTGATGCACCCATGGGTGTTATCATTAAACACCTACCTCTTTAGCTGACCAGCGTTCCTCCTGTTACACCCCCTCACCCGAATTAACGTGATCTTTATCTCTTTTGCCAGTTCGAAATCCAGTGGATGGTGATTCACTGCGACCCCCTGCGACCCCTCCGCGAAAGCTGCGGCGAGCTGCCGGCCCGGGTGAGCGCCCTGCCCTGCCCTGCCCGCCGCCAGGCTGCCATCGAGTCCCTGCCTGCTGCTGGCCAGCAGCAGCCCTCAGGAACCTCTGTTTTTCTCCCCCTTTGTGGCCCGAACTGCCTGTTTTTACCATACCTGCCTGGAATTTGGCGCCTTTAGAAATCCAGCCCTCTCTCCCCTCAGAGCAGCAGCAGCAGCCCCATATTAACTCTTCCGTGACTTACTTTCTCCCCCCTACCCCCTGCTAGGGTGGGAGACGTTTGAAAGCTGTGCCTTGCAGACGGGAGCGGCTTTGCAGCCGCCTCCCCACAGCTACCGCCTCACCGAGGAGCCTGACAGCGGGAAACCCGGGGCGGGGGGAAGGTGAGGGTCGGTGCCCAAAGCAACAGCAGCGGGGCAAAGGGTTAAGGCGCTGCTGGCATTCAGTCCTCCCCTTCCCGGCCTTCAGCCTTCCTCCAATCCCCGAGACCCTCCCCAAGGCGTTAGCGAGCAGCCGTGAGGGGCTATAGCGGGGCTCACCTTGCGGCCGCCCGCCCCGCCCCCCCAGCCGCAGGCCGCTCGTTCCCTCCCTCCCTCCATCGCCATGGCCCGGGCTGTGCGCGGCCTCCTGCCTCTGGGGCTTTTGCTGCAGGTTGTTTGCCCCCCCAGCCGCAGGCCGCTCGTTCCCTCCCTCCCTCCATCGCCATGGCCCGGGCTGTGCGCGGCCTCCTGCCTCTGGGGCTTTTGCTGCAGGTTGTTTGCCTCTGCTTGGCTCAAGTAAGTTTGTTCTG